GAGTTCCGCTGTTTCGATAGCAATAAAACAAGTTAGATGATAAGCTTAATCGAAAGTGAGCGCTTTGAAAATGTTGAATTATGCTTGAATATACCAGGCCAGTTGCGATTCGCACTTTTAATATTGTGTCGGGAGGCGAAAATTGGGTATGAATATGTCAGATTCGTATATTAAGTTTTTCATTCCATAATCACGCTAACTCGACGCCTGTCATAACCAGATTCAGTTTTACGTATGTGAAGAAGCAAATTTGTTTATTATAAAGAGCAATGTCAACTTACCATAAACGAAAGCTTACCAGTACAGCCAAGAGGAAATTTTATTATCTTTTTATTATTAGGTCTTTAACCCTCTAGTTATCTATTCAAGTATGAAGCCTTTGGCAACCAAATTCCAAAGATCAACCCGATAACGGAAATTACATATTATTCCAGTGAAAAATCTAAATGCTCACGGTTGAAAAAGCAATAAACAGTAACTTTTTAATTAAATAAACAATGTTTCATTGTTACTAATTTATGCGAAATCATCAATTCGCTCATGTTTTTTAATCGGTTGCGAGTTTTCGCAGTAGGAAAGATGTCAGTTGATTTTCTAGACTGCTATTAACTGCAAGTGTTTTCAGTTTTGTGATGTTTTCTTGCTAATTTTGCCTACTTAGTGTTTTTGAGAGAAGGTTAATAGTAACGCGTTTTTAAAGTGAAACTTTTATTACATCGTCTCAAATTTTTTGGGCTGCGTTTGCATGTCGTTTTTGTAATGCTTTATACATATGTGTATATGTACATATATATGTGCCGAACAAATAATGCATACACAAACCTACGTACACATATGCGTACACATGTAAATACGTCACCGGCAAAAATTACAAACATTGTTCTACAAAAACAACAATCGTCTCAAGTAGCATAAGCAGCACACACACATGTCAATATGACGAGCTGTGTCGAAAACAACAAACGAACGATTGCCGATTGTGACCGCTTCCCTTGCCGCTCTAACAGCTTTGCCAATAAACCATCATGTATGTTTATGTATGAGCATGCAAGTTAACGACTCAAAAATTTCAAACGAAATTAATATTTTCGCTGCGCCTAGCGCTTTCCCACGCGCACAGGTAGCGCAATAAGTTCAACGGACAGTTCGGACAAATTTGCTGACGCTATGTCTGTACCACAACTTCTACTCACGTTGCAGTAACATGTGCAACTCTTTATTGTCTTCTTTGCTTTTCCTTTAAATAATTTTAAAGTTTCTTTCTAGTTCAGTCGTAAAGTACCACTCAATGAAGCGAGACGCTTCTTAAATAATAAATAAAACTTTATCAAATAATAAAAAGAAGAGATATACCCACCACGAGATAATGGTACAACGATCGATGCAGTTTTACTAGATACATTGAAAAAATTGAATGTAAGTTCACTTTTACGTATGTTAGTTACCATAAAATATTGGTTACATTTATGAACTGTGAAACTCAGGATGAAGATGGTATTGACAATAGAATAATGACAATAATTAAAAATAGATCAAATTGACTTAACGACTTTAATTAATATTGTTTTCAGTTCTTAATATTTGTATATCATTAAATAAAGTTAAGAATTATTTAATTTAAAGTATCCTAAAACACAGAGTTGAATAAAAAGTATTACTGGGAAAACTAATCTGTTGTATCATTTTCCATTATCATCCGATTTTCAAAATAAAATTGAAATTGATCATGCCATTTAAATACCCTTAATAGAATATTATTCCAAAATTATTAATTTAATGTCGAAGATATGAAAATAAGTTTCACTTTACCGTGGTTTCATAAACCACACAATAGTTTTTTTTTACTCTCCGCGATTTCTATTTATATAAAGTTAATCATAACAGTTCTGAAATAATCAGGGGTGTTGCAGAATCTGATAGTTGTCGAAATCAGAATTGAAACCGTTAAGAAAAGTAGTAGATGATCATGTATTCAAATACTATTAGTTTGACGTTCGAAACAGAAATTTGATCGGTTTGGGTGTCACGGAAAGCAATTTTATCGGTTTTGTTATCAGAAACAAAGCACAGGAATATTCCAACAGATTTAAAATTAAGCTGAGCATAATTTATATTAATATTACGATTTAATTATCTTTATTTTTATAGGGAAACATAAGAATAAAACACAAATGTCAATAATTATTGAGTTTATAGGACAAAATCCAGATATTTTAAGGGGATTTATAAAACGTAATTTAACACCCAAATGCGTCCTTATTCAGTCGATAATGTGATATAAATCTGTAAAGTAAGCATGTATACAAACAAACAAGTAAATGCAAGCCAAATTTACATGCGAACTCATTGAAAATTTAGTAGACTTTATTCGGTATTCAAATTTATCAAACACCTCCAAATTTATTCCTTTGCAAGTTTTGTCACAACAGGAAACGCTGATTCGATATTGCTTTTGCAATGTTCGAAAAACGAAAATCCAATCTGATTCTGTGACATCATTGAAAATCAGAATTGGTTGCAAATCTGTTTTGGATTCCACAACACCCTGAATATGATTTTAAGAAAAGCAGGTTAGATGTTGTGACGATTCACGAAAAGCCTTTAAATTGCTTCAAGAACCAGTTTCGTTCAAAAGAAGCCAAATATCCGTTAAAAAGGTCATCGTACTCTGTCAGAAAAGTCCGGCACATAATAAATTTTACAGATAAAACATTATATTTGATGTAATTAAACCACTTGTTAGTACCAACTCAGTAAACGCGATTTACTGTGATTTACGACGTTGCCAGTATACAACATGATTTGGTGTTACAAATTCCTGCAACTGACTGGCACTGCAAGAATATCGTTGTCGACATTACAAACAAAGGTAACAAACTGAAATTATTATCACTGAATACAATCGCGCGCATAGGAAAATATTAAACACATCCTTCGTGATTATTATTTTCCGAAAATAGCAAATTAGCCAATGAGGTGGTGGTCAATTGCAAAACATACTCCAAAGCGAAACACGACAGGCACCATAAAGAAACAAATGCTCGGGTAACGCCAATGTATCAGATGCTGAAGATATCTCCACATTGAAATTTTTAATGGATGTCAAAATGCTTATTATCCCACTTCTAAATTGGTTTCCTCAAACAAGAACCAATCGAGACGATCAGATCACTGTTAAAAACGGCTATGACATAGACATTGTGGATGCACCACCTCTTCACAGTGGTTCAAATGGACAAGTGGAATGCTTTCATGGCACTCTTGCGGACATAGCTTGTTTTAAACTAGAAAAATACTGATGATACAGCCGAGTTAATATTGAGGTCAACAATAGCCCACAAATCGATCCATACACTTGGTCACAAACCAAACCCGAACAATGTGATTCACGCAGCATCCACAAGGACATCCTTAAGTAGAACTTGCTTGTACACACAACGATCTTTATTTCATCTCTTCTATCTTTGCAGAATTAAATTTGCTGTCCTTATTTGTTAGAGGTCGTATATTGTCCGATTATCGAATACTCATTCCAATTATTCCGGTGATAGACGGCAAGGTGTTGGTATGGAGCAAAGCGACTATTAAGGCATTCGAGTACCTGACAGAACTTGCTAGCTAGTTAGATGAGACCGCATAATTAGCAGAGTTATTCTTCAATCGCATATGCGAAAGTTGTTAGACATTTGTTGTCCGTAATAAAAGGCTCAGTACTCCAAGGTAATAGTCCGAGTCAAAGTTAATCTATGCAAACAATAGGCAAATAGTAAACAATTCAGAAACACAGAACAAATTAATAAACTCACAGATACGATAAATGAAATAATTAAAGTAAAAATAATGAGCTAGTTGACACACCGCATTTATATGCGACATTATTAACGAGCAATAGAATGTTAATAAACCAGATTTCAAACTTGATTCGCACAATTATATAAGCTAAAGATAACATAAAAAATCCCACTATTTGGATGATGGAGATTTGGAGAACTCTTAATGGAACACCCTGTAGATATCCCCATAGTTAGCTTAACTAAAGCATCGAAGAGTAAGGTTCTACAGTCCAAGAATATAATTTATATACTCATAGCTTATCCTAGAATTTAATTAATTTGTACCAGAGTCACCATCTTTCATCACATCACCATCTATCATCACATCAACATGTAACATTACAGCTACAAAATGACACCGTACCCGAATGCAACGATGACGTATAGCGGTTAACGAATGCATATCAACAATACTCGCATCCGTTTCTAAGTTAACGCCACAAGACTCCTGTGCACGCGAACTGCAGCTAGTGCGCGGCCTCCTGCCGCACTCAGCCAAGCCACCTGAAGCCTATCTCGCAAGGAGATGATGGAATCATAATTATCATATAGAACAGCAAGGATCAGTACAGACGATGGCGCAGAGATTTTACGAACGCGACACACCACGTCACCTTCCGTTTCTCCGCAATCATCAATGGTACGAAATATGTGAACCAGCATGAAATACTAAATAGGAAGGTAGGCATAGCGGGGTCACCGCTTACGTCAAATCTCAAAGAGAAGACAAGCTTTATTAGCTAAAGCTAACATATAAAATCCCACATTTGATGATGGAGATTGGAGAACTCTTAATGGCACACCCTGTAGATATCCCCATAGTTAGCTTAACTAAAGCATCGAAGAGTAAGGTTCTACAGTCCAAGAATATAATTTATATACTCATAGCTTATCCTAGAATTTAATTAATTTGTACCAGAGTCACCATCTTTCATCACATCACCATCTATCATCACATCAACATGTAACATTACAGCTACA